AAAAATCTAATTAGGCATGTTAAATAATGGTTAAATGTTAACCGATTTGTAATATTGGACCCGAAACGATTCTAGTCAATGAGATTGCTAATTACAGAGGCTGCACTGTAAACCATAATGTATAGACCATCTTATTAATATACACAAGGGCCTTCTTAATGTTCAGTTAATAGCTGAGCTGATAATGTTCCCTGTAGTGTTTGAGATCCCATTACACAAATGTTTTAATAGAATCAGCAACTGCTGGGATTGGGGGTCAACAGATGGTATTTTATGTTGATTTGCTTTATTAATATTATTCATACACAGCAGAAATACACAATGCATCTGCAAATATTTTATATTTCACATTACATAAAAAATGTATACTAATACTGCGATTTAAAAAACAAACAAACATAAGTATTCTTTGTTTTAAAAACAAAATGTCTGCTTTGGCCTTGTCTCTAACATGAGCAAGAGCATCAAAAAACACATGCAGCAACAACATCACAATCTAAGAATTCACATCATAAATCTATCATGGTCAGTCTATTGAACCTGGCTTTTAATGATTAGTTAAATTTTTTGCCTGATGCAGCAAGACCACTGAGCCAGGTCAGAAATATAAGCAAAAATGTTTGTGAAATTGTTACAATGCTTTGGTACCTCATTGGAAGCCTGATCACAATAAGTCGGTCTATTGCTTTTGCCTTTAAAAATGCAAGGTGCAGACAGTGGAATGAGGGAAAAAATGCAAACTCTTGAGACATGTTTTTTAAAAGTTGAACTTATTTTAACTTGAGTGCTGTGCTTTTAGAATGCTGTAAGTCATGTGAGATGCTTTATATTTTCATGCGCAAGGTGCTGCAGAAGTCGCAAGCACATTCTGACAGACCAATCAGAATTGGTCTGCCCCAAGCATGTGCTCCCTGACCAGGGATCGAATAAAGCTTTATATCAGCATAGCTGTGATTGCCTACGGCATTTGGCCTATGGCCTTGTGGCTGCGGCCAAATCACAGCTGTGCTGACATAGAGCAATACTGCATGGCTACTTGTGTGATATTGCTTACATATAGCCCTATCCTCCATATTTTGCAATGTGGAAGTAAGCTATTTTCATTGAATGTGCGAGACTACTGATTTATTAGCCACTATAGGTAAATAACTAGAAGAATAAGAATGAGCAGTAAACTGTAAAACTATTTGCACTACAAACCATTGAGTTTATGAACAAAATACCATTGCGTTATAAAGCAGCATAACAGACTGTTTTTGTACAGGTAATATAACTGGAAGCAAATGTCACCAGAAGCTTTGAACATTTAAATGACAAATAGCTGCTTCCACTCTTACCTTAAAAATAATTTCCATCTGGTTCTGTAGAATAGATTGTAGCTTAGCAAGCTACACTTTTTCAATTGCTTCCCATAACTGACTGGGACAGAGCCACAATGCTTTCACCTTACACAAGGGTCCCCTTAATGATCCATTATTAGCTGAGCGGAGACATGCTTTAGATCCCAGTGCACAAATGTTTTATAGAATCTGATATTATTGTTGGGCCTGAGGGACAACGGACTTAATTTAATGTTTATTATGATTAATATTATTTATGCTTCACATACACAGTAAGTTTCACATACAAAGATTAAATACACAATACATCTACAAACAGTTTTGTTTCACAGGTAGGCTATTTGTCAATGCATAGAAAGTCTTTTTGTTTGACATTTCAAATTTCTGCCAATTCTGTCAATATAAAAATAAGCAGAGCTCCAAATATTTTCCCTATTTTCTTTTGCTTATTTTGAAAACAGACAATTCAACATCGGCATGTCTATGCTTTGGCCTGTAGTTTCTAATATGAGCAGAAGCATCACAAACATTATCAAAACAAGCAACATCATCACAATCAGAATTAAGACAATAAAGCTATTGAAATTAACTTTAAATGATGTGGTACTATTTTCTTGTGCAAAAATACATCTGCTAATCGTTTCCTGATCTCTTTAGTTCTGGTGCAATAAACAGTGGGATTTATTAATGGAGGGATTAGAGAGGCTACAATCAAAATTGCATTTCGTTCTGTTAAATTTAGCACAACTCCTATTCGAGTTAGTAAAATGGAGACCAGCTTTGGTGCGTAATAACTAAACAAGACAATGAGGTGACTGGAGCAAGTGCTGATCATTTGCTTTTTGCTTGAGTTGTTGGACAGTTTAGTCACACTATATGCCAGGAGAGCATAGGTACACAGAATAAAAGGAAACTGTCCACACAGTAGCCACAGACTTATCATTACAGGTATGAAAAAATATGGTTCAGGATCAACACAAGCAGCTCTGATCAGGGAAGGATGATCACAGAACACATATCTGATGACAGGCTGACGACAGTATGGAACACTGTCTACCATTGATGCCATAAAACCTACAAAAGCAAAACCAATGAGCCAAGTCAGAAAAATAAGAAGACATGTTCGTGAATTAGTTACAATGTTGTGGTATCGTAATGGAAGCATTATTGCAATAAGTCGATCTATTGCCATTAATGTCAGAGCCATGCATATTGTGATATCACCAAGATGATAGAAGTACATACTTGAGATACAAGAGTAGTATGAAATAGTTTTAATCTCAGCCAGCAGCACTGAGATCATGGTTGTGCTGCAGCTAGAAGAGAACATTATGTCAACAACAGCTAGATTACAGATTAATATGTACATCGGTTTGTGTAAATGTCTGTCAGTCAAGATAATACACAGATTGATGCCGTTCCCAAGCAATATGAGCATGTAGGTTATTAAGATGAGGAATCCGAGGAGCTTTTGGTTCTGCAGGTGATCAAATCCAGTGATTACAAAGCCATGTAAAGTGTAATTTTCATTTGCCATTTTCAGTCAGCCACTTCCCAACATACAAATATTTTAAAATACAGTTAGTACAGATAAAAAGATGAAGTCAATTAGATCCTCGATGTACTCATATATGCACAGAAAAAAAGCTCCTATGAAGGAAAATGGCAGAAAGATGCAGACAGCGTCTGTAACTGCAGGGTGATGAAAAGTCTGAAAGTTGAAATATAGTTTTATCAGAAATACAAAAAGAGTTTCATGCATTCTTAAGAATAAAAAATAATATATAATGTGATATAATTTCTTGTCCTTTTGTTCTTTAGTTCCTCTATTTTAAAATTCCAATCAGAGTACTTTAAAATAGCATAAAATAAACTGTCTGAGATGCACCTCTCATCATAAACATATGACTGAAATCCTGCCTTTTATATCTTAATATATGACAGATAGGTCATGGTTTCCTAGCAGCTGTGATTGAGTAAACTTAGGATTTCAACATAGAAAGTCTCTCCAAATATTTTTTGTGGTTATACACACACACACACACACACACACAAAAGAAAAAATACCTCCAACAATACCATAATGCATTAATCTATTATTTAAATAGACATGATTAGGAGATGGAGTAGTTTGTCACACAAGTATAAAGGGGCTATATAGCTACAGGGTAGATAAAAAAAGTCATTTTAAAGTCATGTTTTAGGTAGAACTTTTTATATATATTTAAAGAAAAGTGACATTTAAAAAAAAATGTCTGCGTAGAGAGGATGTTGTCCCAACTTTTATATATTGTAATTTCATGGAATAACAATTTCTTTATATTTTTATTGAGGCAAGTTGTCACTTGTTTACTGTATATGTTACATATTATAGAAATTTTCCCAAAACAACAGTTTTATGTTTATATGTTACCTGTTTTGTGATATATAAACGGTTTTAACCATTCATGTTTTCAAAATATTTCAAATATAAAATATTTTAATTTAGCTTAAAAACATATAATAGGTTATTTAATGGCAGGTTTCATTGTGACAACTTACCCCATATAGAGTGACAACACATTGATGTTATTAGTTTACAAGGAAAATTCATGATTTAAACATAGTCCATGTTACTGTAAAATTAAACTGTTTTAGTATCCCCATTATAATTCATAAACTGTAGATGGACTTGGGTACCTCTTAGCTTGAGGAAATTATTTCATTAGAGTTGTGAAATTTTAAAAATGACCTCTGCAGGACAGTGACAAAGACCAGGAATTATTGTTGTTTTCTGTTATTTTTTGTTAATTTCCATGTGACCACTGCCACCTCTGTGACTGTTTTCTTGTGGGTACATTGCAAGTCACACTCCACTTGTTTTTTTCCCTGTTGCTTCACACTAATGAGCTTCGAGACACCAGACTGAAATCTCTCAGGCTCCACATGAACCTCTCCACAGGTTTACCTAAACAAGCACAGTGCTATTAGCAGGGTAATTAAAATGCTACTCATTATCCTTTGGAACAAATGCCTCATATTTAGATGATGCAACACTTGTTGGTTACTACACGTCCTCGTCACACACATTTGAGGGCAGACTATGAAAACCTAAAATAACAGACACAACATATTATGAATAAACAAGCTGGTAGCTTAATAATACAATGTCATCAGCTGATGACTGTCATAGGTAATAAATGTACGCAATGTGACACTTTACACATACACTAGCCACAGAACACAGTAAATAATTTACTGCAATAGCTATAATTTACTAAAAACTCTGTGCCTGTTTTCTTGTGGGTACATTGCAAGTCACACTCCACTTGTTTTTTTCCCTGTTGCTTCACACTAATAAGCTTCGAGACACCAGACTGAAATCTCTCAGGCTCCACATGAACCTCTCCACAGATTTACCTGAGTGCAAACAGTGCTATTAACAGGGTAATTAACATGTTTCTTATTATACTTTGGAACAGACACTTCATAATTAGGTGATGCAATATATGTTGATTTCCACATCCTCAACACACACGCGCACACACACACACACAGATAAAATGTGTTTTTAAAAAGTTTGGGCTTTTTGGTTGAGATCTAACTGAGAGTCTTAACTATAATGTAGTAGTTGCTGCTGTGTTTAATATAACTCAATTTGTGCTTTTCTATCTAGACAGCATGAATACAGGATCAGTGAGTGAAATGGTTGTGAATCAAGATGTCACTGAAAACAGAAATATTTCCATCCCGTCTTATTTCTATATCAGTGGTTTTTCTGGAATACCTCATATGAGATACTATTATATATTTCTGTTTTTTGTCTACATTATTACTGTGCTTGGGAATTCTTGCCTCATGTTTGTTATCATTATGGACCGAAATCTTCACACTCCTAAATATATAGCTGTCTTTAATTTGTCTTTGACTGACATTAGTGAGAGTACTGCTGTGATCCCTCAGCTACTGGATACGTTTTTGTTTGGGAATCAGTTGATCCCATATGGATTGTGCATGTCCAGTATGTTCTCTGTTTTGTTATTTCTCGCAATGCAGTCACTAACTCTCACTATTTTGTCTTTTGACAGATTAGTTGCTATTTCATTACCACTGAGGTATCATATGATTGTGACCCACAGATTAATGGTTGGCAAGTGACTATCCTTATAAGTGAGTTAGTAGACCATTCATTCAGCCAATTCATTCAAAAACAAATTCATTCAGGATTGAAACAAGGCTTTAAACAAGGAAATTATTTACACAAATGTATGTATGTATGTATGCAGGGGCGGACTGGGACAAAAATTCAGCCCTGGCACTGTAGCCTCACCGGCCCACATTACCACACCGACACACACCCACCCACAGTCACACACATTCACTACTGTGTTGCAATCTCTCTGATGACGTGCTTGATTTTGACTGAACGGTTCGGTCGGCCCATCTCGGGACCAGGCGGCCGGCCGTTGCCGACTGGGCCAAATGCTTAACATTTATTTATTATTAACATTATTATTACTATAACCATAGAGAAATTGTGCAAGCGATAAAAACCCGTCCTATGCGCTGTTGGCCCTAAAATTTTATTTATTTATATATATTTAGAAAAAATCTGACCGGCCCATATTAAACAAAATGGTCCGGCCCCTCTGGCATTTGCCAGAATTACCAGATGGCCAATCCGCCCCTGTATGTATGTATAACCACACACTACACATATTAAAACCAAAAATACATGTATTAATGTTATTTTTTGAAGAAAAATCATTAGCTAGAAACCTTTCAGCTAGAAAAATTGTTCCTTACAGTGACAGTAAACACAGAAAGATAGGCTTTTCACACTTGAAATAGTTAAACCTGGGTCATTCTAAACCCTGGTAAACGGAATCCTTGGTTATCTTGCATCACTTTTCACACTTCTCATAATATAGACCAGTTTTGACAGTATATTGATTGTAGATTGACAGTATACACTCTTCCAAAGTAATACACAGATGTGTAATGACACAGCAGTCATAACTATGCTTTATCGGAAATAAAACACAACCATTGACCAATCAGCATCAAGGACCAGAACAATCCATTTATTTATGTTGGTCAGTTAGCTTGCATCATGCATCTATATTGGCATTTCAAAAAAATTCTTAAAATAAAAACAGTCCCTCACTACTGAAACAAGTGACTGTAATCTGGACCTGGACTGTAATCTCGCCATCTGGACTGTAATCTCGCCATCTGGACTTGGCAAGATGGCGCCGCGGATGGCAGCCATGGTTTGTCGCTACTTGGTACTTGTACTTTTTTTGTTTGTTTGTCCTGTTTTAAGCAATTTTTTCCCGATCAGCTTTACTAGGAACGAACTCCTGGACATCAGAATAAATAATGTGTATGAATCTGGAACAGTAGATTTGTTAAGTTTTTACTATTTAAAATTTTTTTTTTCTTTCTGTTCTCATGTCAGATATGTATATATGTATGTATGTATGTATGCATGTATGTACGTACCAGGAGCACCCTATCTTTCTGTTCTCATGTCAGATATGTATATATGTATGTATGTATGTATGCATGTATGTATGTACCAGGAGCACCCTAAAAAAAACACAACAAATTCCTCGTGTGTTTGCACACACCTGGCGAATAAAGCTAATTCTGATTCTGATTCTGATAATTCCCAAAATTTTAGAAGGCAAATGCTCAAATGACTTTATTTCACACCCTTGGAATACTTGCTTAGGTCATCATGAAGCAGCAGCACAACAGTTTCTCCTCTCTATGGATTAGTCACTGTATCTGACGTAGCTGATCATGCCATCAGTGCCAGTTCTGTGCCATGATTGGTCAACTGACAAGTCCAGAGAGTCCTAGCATTTGTACCACAATCAGTGTTTGACTGATATATAGTGCAGCGTGTTCCAGGTCAGGGGAAGTGTTTTACCAGTGCTGTGTGCCTGGATAAGCCTGAAGAAAAACTTCTCAGGGCCTGATTGAGCTGCTCTTCACCTTTGTGTGAGTACACTGAATTCACAGCATTTATTATCCTGAAATCTTGCATAATATATACAAAATTTGAGTTTAATAAGGCAATGTAAGATTCAGCTTTCAAAGATGCAAATGTAAAATGTTTAGAATTGTATATATACTGTAAAGTAGAAAAACACTTTTTTTTATTATAATTGCTTATGAAAATCATTAGGCAATTTTCTGTAGTTACAGTAAGAAGTATGTTGAAGAATATGTCTGTGTTTCTTGAATTGCAGTATTTGTAGGAGAGGACATAACCATTACAAAAAGCTTTGTAAAATTATGATTATTAATTTTAAATTATGAAAAAACTGCACCTCCCACCTCATAATTACAATTTTTTTTCTTTCTTAATTTTGGGCCTTGATGTTGCAGTTGGCTTTACTGATTAGTAGCTGTTTGTTAATTTAATGCTTCGAAGTTTTGTTTTTCTTGTTACACTTTTGTTCATAAGAGACCTTTTATTTTGAAATCATGTTAAGCTTATACATTTTAAAGGCGACTGGCTGCTTTTCAGCAACCTGAAATACTACAAAATCACGTCATGTATTTACATTAACAATGTATATGACAATTAACATCTTTTAAATTAACTCACATATATAGTGCATATTATGCCAGGTGACTAGAGTTTGCACCCCAACTTTTTGTCTACATTATTACTGTGCTTGGAAACTCTTTTCTTATGATTGTGATTATTATGGACTGAAATCTTCACACACCTAAATATATTGCTGTCTTTAATTTAGCACTGACAGACATTTGTGAGAGTACTGCTGTGATCCCTCAGCAACTGGAAGCATACGTGTTTGGAAATCAGTTCATTCTGTATGGATTGTGCATGTCCCAAATGTTTTTCAATTGTGTTATTTTTGCAGTGCAATCAATGACTCTTACTATTTTGTCTTTTGACAGATTAGTAGCTATTTGTTTACCACTGAGGTATCATATGCTTGTGACCCACAGATCAATGCTTGTTATGATTGGTGCTTCATGGATAATAGGACTGTCGATAGCAACAGCTGCAATCATTTTCCTGACTAGACTGTCTTTCTGCAGAGTTGTTGTAATCGTTAATAGTTTCTACTGTGATCATGGGCCTATATCACGTTCTTCCTGTAGCGATTATTTTCCGAGCTTTGTGATATCAGTTTTGTACCCTGTGATCATCCTTGGGTTACCAGGGGTTTTTATTGTTTTTACCTATACATGTATAGCTGTGACATTGTTCAGAATCACAACCCCACAAGACCGTCAACGAGCCACAAAGACCTGTACTGCTCATTTAATGTTAGTGGCTATATTTTATGTGCCCATTACTTTTACATATGCATTTTGGCCCTTTATTAACACTAATACAAGGATCATTAATCTTTCTCTGACTTCTGCTCTTCCTCCATTGCTTAACCCAATAATCTACACATTCATGACAGAAGAGTTTATGGTGTCTGTGAAAAGACTTCTTAAACAAAGATTCATATTCCCATCTTCAAAGTAAACCTCTTTCCTCCCACTTTATTAACTTTATTCTTCATGATGTTTATAGTAGTTAATATTTCAAAATTCTCAATTTAATAATGCATTTCAACAATCTAATATCACAGTTTTTATAAAAAGAATATTATATATATAAAAAAGTACCATGCTGTTAGCTTTATCTACACATGTAAACTTCCGTTCATCCGGTTCATCTGTATCTGTACTCCAATAATACTGATCATCATCTCAGATTTCTGCATTGCTGTGCTTTTGTGTTTAATGTCCATAAAATCCATAAAAAACTGTACCTCCCACCTCATAATTACAATTTTTTTTCTTTCTTAATTTTGGGCCTTGATGTTGCAGTTGGCTTTATTGATTAGTAGCTGTTTGTTAATTTAATGCTTTGAAGTTTTGTTTTTCTTGTTACACTTTTGTTCATAAGAGACCTTTTATTTTGAAATCATGTTAAGCTTATACATTTTAAAGGTGACTGGCTGCTTTTCAGCAACCTGAAATACTACAAAATCACGTCATGTATTTACATTAACAATGTATATGACAATTAACATCTTTTAAATTAACTCACATATATAGTGCATATTATGCCAGGTGACTAGAGTTTGCACCCCAACTCAAGAACTTTTCCCAATTTAGTTCCCTGTTTACCCTTAACTGTCCTATAAGGCACAAAATGGCAAAAATATAACCTGAACAAAGGGAGGGTCAATTTCAAATATCTCTGCAGGTGCTTACGGTCCATTTCTGTGTCCATTTCCATACCACACTGTGATACTGCTGGTTAAAATGCTCTCAATGGCGCTTCTGTAAAAGCTCCTGAGGATCTTTGGTGACATGCCGATTTCCTCAGCCTTCTGAGAAAGTAAGTTGTGCAAGAAAGCACAACAGAAAGCTGTTGTGCTTTCTTGACAAGCTGGGGTGCGTTTCCCATACAACGACGTAACTCGCTGATTAACCACCATAGTACGATGCATTGTTGTGGAAACGAACTAGCTAATCACGAATACGGTCGCATCTCCGTCGTTTGAACCACATTAGTTCAACAATATAGGGCCATTGTTAATGATGTCACATGCATGTGGTGGAGGAATAACTTCTGCTATTTAGCCAATTAGACATCTCTACGATGCTGCTGTATTGAACATGGAACCATGGACGCTGTTTGCGAATGTTCGTTTGAACTATGGTTTCGGGAAACACTGAATTGTTGAACGATGTTGGTAATAACGGAACTTGCGACCATAGATGGCTAACCATGCTTTTGGGAAATGCACCCCTGGTTGGTGTTAGTTGACCAAGTGAGGTCATCACTAATATAGACACCCAGGAATTTGAAGCAACTCATTCTTTCCACCTCAAGCCCATGGATGATCAGTTGCCAGTGAGATTTCCTCTCCTTCCTCATGTCTACAATCACCTCATTGGTTTTATCTGTGTTGAGGGTGAGATTGTTGTCCTCACACCATTTCACCAGACTTGCTACCTCACTGCTGTATGCTGTTTCGTCATCACCAGTCCAATCACTGTGGTATCGTCAGCGAACTTCAGGATGATGTTGTCCTTATGGTAGGTGATGCAGACGAATGTGACTGCCTTGCTTGTGTCTACATTTTTTTCACCTGTGTGCAGTGTGGGGAGGCCTTCTCGTGGATGGCGTGATCACATGTGGGGCGAACAATGCAATACAAGTCTAGGGGTATAAAACTGGTGTATGCAGAGTCATGCTGCAACCTAGTGATGTCTAGCAGCGTTTGCTTATTATAAGTTATCAATGCATAACATTTCTGCACTTATAAAAAAAAAAACAAGATACATAAAGAGACACACAAAAACACAGCGTTGAAGAGTGGAGCAAGCAAACACGTCTGCCATGGAGGACACCATGTTGAGCCAGCTTAACATGTTGAGGAACCCTAGGCATCATTCTTTTGGTCAGAGTCAGTAGAAAGATCTCTTTAATCTCTTTAATGTCCTAAGCATTGATTGTAGACTGTAAACTGCACATGTGTTCTACAGTTGTATGTGTTCTAAAGTTGTATATTTAAACAATTTCTGTAGAGATATGTAAAGCTTTAGATATGCAACCACTAACCCTAACTTATAACTTCTTATAGCATATTTTGTGCGTTAAGGGTGTAGGGATTTCTAAATATGAACAGACCCTGATATGCCACTATCAGCCATCATGAGGTCCGGATTAATTTAATCAAGAGATGCCACAGAAATCTTTTGTATGAGGACTGAAAATACCGCGTGATGCCTCGTGATCCTTTACAACTGCAGTTTTCCTGTAGATTAGTCAGTGTATTTCATTCTGACGTACCTGATCATGCCAGATCTGTGCTATGATTGGTCAACTGACAAGTCTGGAGAGGCCTGCCATTTGTATCTGAAGGATATATATTGTTCAGCATGTATCAGGTCTGGGGACGTCTTTTTACAGTGCCGTTTCTATACTAGCTTCAGCAAGACTTCCTATAGTCATATCTTTCTGTGAGTACACCTTATCCACTGTATTTGCAGCATGTATTATACAAAATCTTGCATATTGTATGTTAAAAATTTTAGGGCAATGGAAGATTTTAAGATGCATGTTAAAATATAATTGTGCTTATAAAACTTGAAATGCCTATGTTCATTTGTTTGGTTTTGTTCTGGAGGGATTATGTATATATATATATATATATATATATATACTGTATACACACACACACATTTTACTGCAGTCTAAATATCTATCTTAGATTCAATTGATGCAATATTTGTTGTAGAGGAAAATATAATGAAATATTTTCTTACAATGCTGAATAACATACTGCTTTTTTTATTTTTTACCCGGACAGGATGAATAGAGTATCAGTGAGTGAACTCGTCATGAATCTTGATTTCACTGAAAACAGGAATATTTCCATCCCGTCTTTTTTCTATATCAGTGGTTTTTCTGGTATACCTCACATGAGGTACTATTATATATTCTTGTTTTTTGTCTACATTATTTCTTTGCTTGGAAACTCCTGCCTCATGCTTGTTATTATCATAGACCGAAATCTTCACACTCCTAAATATATTGCTGTCTTTAATTTATCACTGACAGACATTTGTGAGAGTACTGCTGTGATCCCTCAGCTACTGGATATGTTTTTGTTTGGGAATCAGTTGATCCCATATGAATTGTGCTTGTGTAATATGTTCTCTGTGTTTGTATCTATTTCAACACAGTCCTTAACTCTTGCTGTTCTGTCTTTTGACAGATTAGTAGCAATTTGTTTACCACTGAGGTATCATATGATTGTGACCCACAGATCAATGCTTGTTATAATTGGAGTCACGTGGGCAGTGGCACTGCTTATGGTAATCGCCGCTACAGTTTTTATCAGCAGGCTTTCTTTCTGTAGAGTTATTGTCATCATAAATAGTTTCTACTGTGATCATGGCCCTATATATCGTTCTGCCTGTAGCAGCAATTTCCCAAGCTCTGTGATAGCCAGTTTGTACCCAATATTAATTCTCGGCTTTCCAGTATTTTTGATCATCTTTTCATACACATGCATAGCTGTGACACTGTTTAGAATCACAACTCCACAGGACCGTCAAAGAGCCACAAAGACATGTACTGCTCATTTAATAGTAGTGGCCATATTTTATGTACCCATCACTTTTACATATGCTCTTTCTTCCATTATCATCATAAATAGTTTCTATTGTGATCATGGCCCTATATATCGTTCTGCCTGTAGCAGCAATTTCCCAAGCTCTGTGATAGCCAGTTTGTACCCAATATTAATTCTTGGCTTTCCAGTATTTTTGATCATCTTTTCATACACATGCATAGCTGTGACACTGTTTAGAATCACAACTCCACAGGACCGTCAAAGAGCCACAAAGACATGTACTGCTCATTTAATAGTAGTGGCCATATTTTATGTACCCATCACTTTTACATATGCTCTTTCTTCCATTATAAACACGAACACAAGGATCATTAATCTCTCTCTGACCTCTGCACTTCCTCCAATGCTTAACCCTATAATTTACACAATCAAGACAGAGGAGTTCATAATCTCTTTGAAAAGGCTTTTTAAACGGAGAACCATATTCCCATCTCCAAAATAAACCGTTTTTTCCCCAATTTTAAAAACATTGTCAGACACTGTTGTCATTTGTATTGTTTTATCGTTGTTGTTGAATAATTTATGCTTCAATGTTCTGCATTTCTAAATATAATTTAATATGACAAGCCAGACAACAGGTATCATGACTTCATAAACCCACAACAAATGCTAAAGCCACTACTGTGATGTATTAAATAATAATAAGAAAAAAACATTATTAAAATAATAAAACAAAGAGTGGGAAAGTAATAGCATTCTACCTTTAGTGTGTAATTCTTTTGTTCCTTACTTAAAATGTATCCCTGCTTCTTTCCATCTGACCTCATCAGGGAAGTAATAAAAGGGGCACTTTGGGCTACCCATCAAAAAAGGGCCAAAACGAGAGAATTACATGATTACTTTTGTTCAACTATACTCATAGTTATTAAATCGATTTATTTATTTACTTTTAATCAGTAATTGCAAATAATTTTAAGTAAATGCATAGTATATATAAAAAGGAATTGATAAGTAAATTAATAATGGCCTACACTGATTTGTGAAAAAAATTGTGAATAAAAAGCATTAAAAACACAGACTGCCTAAAAGTAATAGTTGTACACAAAATAATAATAATAATAATAATAATAATAATAATATATATATATATATATATTTATTTATTTAATTCTCTAAATACATATATTACATTGAATATTCAAGAAAGCCTTTCGTTGTCAGGTGTGTGCCAAATTTTTAACAATATGCAAAAAGTTATCCACTTTATTTTGCAACTCAGAAGTAAACTGTTTCAAAGACTTGATTCATTAGCTGTTGAACCAGCAGTAAACGGTAAAACAAATTGCTCTACAAACCAGTGTGTTTATGATTACAATAATAAATTTAAATAATATGATAACAAATAATACTTTGCAATATCAAGCAGCATAAGGTAATGTTTTTGTACAAGCTAAAATAACTGTAAGCACATTACACCGGAAGCCTTGCACATTCAGGTTACAAATGGCCGCACACACTCTTACATTAAAAATAAGATGGATAGGCCTTAAGCCCATATTATGTAACTTGAATATGTTTTGGTCGGCAGCTAAAATAATAAAAATTGTGTCCAAATATATATGGACCTAACTGTAGTATTTTTTTTTAAAGTTGTTGTTTCAAGCCACATCTGCATCTGTTTTTATGAGACCCATTTAATATGAATATAATATTAAGAATTATTATTATTATTATTATTAATGATGTTATTATTATAAAAATAGTTAATTAAAAAAATTAAATAAATTTTTATTAAAATATAAAAATGTAACCTATAAATTTATAATAATACTATGATACTGTAAATAATAATAATAATAACATGTGATTCAACGAGAAATATCAGAAAGTCCTGACTGTAGAAGAGAGGAGGAGCTGGGGATGGAGAAGGGTAATTAGCTCCTAAGCAAAGTGATATAGCTGCGGAATTATACTGAATAGACCTTATATAGGGATGCTGTGATAGGTGTCATAGGCGTCAACATATAATCATGCATTAGTTGACTATATATTTTCATGACAATAAAATCCCCTTGTCCTTTGCATCTGTATTTTGTCTGTAGGTTTCTCTTTGACAGCAATGGGGTAGTCTACTGGCCGTGTCACAATAAAGATGCTAAAAGGCATTTTTGGTGCGACGCAAATCTTGGATTTGGGACATTATTGGGTGCCCTATAGTGAGAACAGGTGTTACACAATATTACACAATACATTAATGCTTGCTAAAGCTGGTGATTTGTGGAAATGGGGACTATTGCTAATATTAACTGGAGCAATACTCACAAACAGGTTTTGTGTCTGTATCAATGTATTGCCTATATAAAAAAATTCAAAGCTTAAATTTTCTATTCTTAGATTTTGCTATGTTTTCATATGCATGCCCCTGCTTCTCCAAGTCTACAGGGGGAAGGGTTGATCCATGAACTAAAGTCCCAAGCTCATGATCTAATATAAATATGTCTGATGATTGGTAGGATAATGTCATTCTGGCAGCTTTGGAGAAGGTAAAGTATAAACCATGTGTTTTCTCTGTTTCTCTCTAATGATTTTACTGCAATTACTGTAAAAAATATTATTAGTTTAATAGTAATGTAAAATACTTTTTATTGATTAATCGTTGTGATTGGAATTGAAATTAGTGTAGGAATATTCTGTTATTTTGTGTGTTTGAATAACAGTTCTATCACAGGTGAAACAAAAGCCAGACAACAGGTATCATGAGCTCCATGCATGCAGACTTCTCTACAAATGTGACCGTTGTTCGTCCTGCTACATTTTTTATCAGTGGCTTTTCTAATATCCCACATGCAAAATACTACTATATGTTCTTGTCTTTAGTGTATGTTGTGACTGTTTTAGGGAATTCATTTATCATGTGTATCCTGTATTTGGCCCGCAGACTCCACACAGCCAAATACATTGCAGTCTTTAATCTGGCCCTTTCTGATCTGTGTGGAAGCTCAGCTTTGATTCCAAAAATCATAGACATGTTTTTATTTGATCACCAAG